AAACAAAACTGAAGACAATAACATTTCATTAAGGAATTATCTCTTTATAAAATGGGAAATTCCTAATTATAATGCATACATGTACTAAAATATGAACTAGTGTAATACTTCTAAAGAATAACATTTTGGGGCCGGTCGGGTGGCACAGTTGGTTAGAATGCGTGCTCTTGACAACAGGGTTGCCAATTCAACTCCCTCATGGGATGGTGGGCTACGCACCCCCTGCAAGTAGATTGAAAGCAGCAACTGGACTTGGAGCTGAGCTGCGCCCTCCACAACTAAGATTGAAGGACAACAACCTGACTTGGAGCTGATGGGTCCTGGAAAAACACAATGTCCCCTTCCCCAATTCCCCAACACTGTTCCCTTCCCCAATTCTCCGATGAAATCTTTAAAAAAAAGAATGACATTTTTTGTTAGACTTACCAGACAGAGTATTTTGATTGGTAACATGCCTAAGCCGTTAATCCTTGTGATCTTGTTTTTGGCCAAACTAAGGTGAGTTAGATTGCGGCACAGCTCTAATCCACAGATTTCTTCTATCTGGTTGTCTATATACCATAACTACGTTTAAGGAAAATATTGTTAGAAACATTTTGAAGAAGAAAAAAAAAAAGAACCAGTGTTCAGTTGGACAACAGCATAAATAGAGCAGTATTATATGCCCAATATAGGATGAACGCTAAATCTTAAAATAGTTTTTCATATAGAGGTTAACATGAGCACTGTTTAAAATTGATTGTTTTAAAGGCATGGTTTTTGAGTGTGCTTAGTCGCATTTGCATCCAGATGTGGCTCATTTAATCGGCGAGGAAAGAAATTTCAGAGAGGATCATAGCTGCCTCCTCGTCAGGGTACCTTCCCTTGGTTCCTTAAACGTCTCCATGAGAAACTCACGTGCTTCCCACAGGCAGCACCTCTGAGTACAAGGTCACTCCAGAGAGGCACCGTGAAGGGAGCTTTATCATCCTCAAACCCGGGGCAACAGCCTGGGAAATGGCTCTGTAGCAAATGGGTGATCAAGAAAATCCAATACCCTGATAATAGAGAGGAACGGCCCTTTCTTTCTATCTATATTGGCTCGTCTTCTCACTTTAAAATAAATGAGGCCTAAACTCGACCTTAATTTCCTCATCCATTTATTAAGTTTCTATTCACTGCTAAAAATTTAACTTCTTATCTTCTGTGTTCCATTCCTATATTCACCTAAAGCTGCAATCTCAGAGTCACCCCTTCTACCTGCCTTTCTCTGGTCTCAGTTTCTTTGGCAGATTTTCAGGGTGTGATATCATTTCCCACCAAAGCTCCATCTCCCCTCCTGAGTAGCCCAAGACATCATGGGTTTCTCAGCTACTTACAATCTTCAGGGAGTCCAATCAGTCACCAAGAACTGGCATTTTTGCTTTAAAACATTTCTTTAATTATCCTCTTCCTTTTCATTTACTCCTCTGCCAACTTGGTTCAGCGTTAGCTACAACGGATATCTCCAACACCCTGTCCCCAAGTCACCTTCCACACTGCAGTCAGGTTAATAGTTCCAAAATGCTGATTGGATATCATGCTTCAATTGAAAATAAAAAAAAAATCTCATAGGACGAATTCCAAATCCCTCACTCTGGCATTGAAGGCCCTTGACTTTAAGCAAAACCTACTTATCCAATTTCATCCCCATTATAATCCAGTGGAGTTCTCTAATTCTGCCTATCTTCTCTGAACCATCTTCTCAATAGTTCTGGAATGTACCAAGAACTTTCTTACACGGCAATGTATCTCTTTTTTTATATACCGCTTTCTTACTCCTTTCTAAACCCTGCACATTCTTCACAACAATTTCAAATTCCACCTTTCCCCTCCTTTTGTTCTGTAACATTCACATTAAAGCAACATCTTATTTCTTTTTCACAGGTAACCTCAATTTCTCTTCTTTCTTTTTCATTACATAAGTATAAGTGATAGATTGGAAGAGCATACAACATATACAGTAGAGAAAGGATTACTATCTAGAATACATAAAGTATGACCATAAACTAATGGGAAAAAAGACAACCCACTAGAAAACGTTAAGAGGAGTATGTCCAGGATATTCCCAGGAAACGCCCGGAAAAGCACATCTAAGTGGCTAATAAACACGTGAAAAGACACTCTGTTTTACCTGTAGTCAGAGAATACAGATCAAGAAAAGATTCCCATCTTCCCCTTCAGTTTAAGCAAACACTGAAAGGTTCTAAAGAACAGATACTTTCACGCTACTGGGTAAGAAGGCTCATTATGATATAGCCACTTTGGAGGCATTTCGGCAGTATCTATTATAGCTGTAAATATGTCACAGCAATTCCACTGTTGGTATCCATTCTAGACAAACCATTCTTCCTCAAGTCCTTTTCTGATCAATGTTATACCTGCCTGCTATCTCCTTCCATGAATCATAGAATCAACAAATTTTTTTTAAAATAAGGACTCATAAGCATCACCAAATCATATATGTTGCCTCATAATTATCCATCGTTATCCTAACTCTACTACTTACTAGTTATGTGACTTCTCTCTGCCCAGACATTTCATTTTTAAAGTGGAGCTAACACCAGGTTGCCATGAAGGCCAAAAGTAAAATCATGGGGAAAAAATGAGAAAATGGGGTATGATTGCATTGCATGACCCATAAAGCACCTACAGTTACAAGGCATCGTTACCATTAGAAAATTACAAGCACATGAGGCTGAGGAATCATGTCCTCTTCCATTTGGCCAACAGCACAAAATGAAAAATTGAAGGCCAGGAATGATTCTGAAAAGACCTAGGCCACAGAGAGAGGCAAATAAGGAAACTAGATGCAGTGATGAAGAAATATTGCCCACTGAACCAGAAATTCCCAGGTTTTCTTCATTGGTTTCATTGAGATTGAGTTGTTGGGCGGAAGCATAGTTCCGCTTGTGGTCAATACGTATTTTCAAATCTACTTTCACAAAGCTTCCTGCCAGAATAGCTCTACAGACAGACATTTTTGCTCACAAACACGATGCTTCTTTCTGCTTCCACTTTCTTTGGGCTATTTAATCATTTTGTAATGAAAACAAAGACTAGGTCTTTGCAGATACCGACTGTAACACAGGATGTGATACGCAGGACGCAGGGGATTCAACTCTCACACAGCCATAGATGAAATAAAATAGCCTCTGAGTAGGCAGTCTTTGGCAAGAAAAACTTGAAATGGCCATCTGTCTCAGTTTAGCAGAGGGAGCAATAGTCTAAGCCCTTTTTCAGGGGCACTGGTGTCCTGGTGAGTGCTCCGCATGAAATGAAGTTACTCTGAATTATGACAGAGTTTAACGAACGCCTGCGGGTGGCTGAGCCAGGAACCATTCCCATGGGAAGCAGGCAAGGATGAGAAAACTGGAAAACAGGAATCCCGAAACTATGGAGAGATAACGGGATTGAAAAGGAAAGCTGTGTGCACAGTAATTTTCTAAGACATCAGAGGCTAACCACAGTTCCTCTGGTCCACCCCGCCGATGAGCTCTGACCAGTATGGCAAGTCATGTTCTATGAAATTAGTATCGCGAGGGCCAAAAGGAGGAGGAATACAGACGTGTCACTGTAATCGCAGCCATGGCTTTCGCAGTGACCACTGCCATCACTCACGCCACCCGGGCTAAGGGCAGGGAACTGCCCGAACATCTCCACTGAGAAAGAGGTTCGTTTCAGAAAAATTGTCTCCTGTTTCCCAACGGCTCATTCTCCTTCAAATTTCCAGGAATTTCTGGCACTACAAATTGATCAGGTTGTTGAGGAAGGAGTACTTTTTATAGTGGCACAGTAGCTTTGCCCCCCTAATGACGCCCACAGTCACATCCTATGTGACCGCCAGCAATGGTAACGGTCCATACGGGTCGTTACGCAGGACTGGTCCCTACAGAGCTCTGAGTGCGCAGCTTGCTTTCAGGAACACCTTTATCTCCCCAGTCTCCTGTTTTCTTATTTTAAGAACCTTCAGGAAATGTTACCTGCCCTTCCTCCTACCATTATTCTTTCATGTTCTTTCTTAGGTCTTGGTACTTTTGGATAAGAAGAAGAAGAATCTGATAAGTCACTAAACTATTACAATGAATTAGCTTACTGGGTTAATCCTCTTAGGTGTATTTTAATTTTAAAAGGCCGCTATCAGGAGAAAGAGACTCAAAGAACCCCGAATTATCATATTGCATCCCAGCTCTAAAGCTTTTTATTCTGTGAATAAATCTTTCACTGTGGAATTTTAGATCCTATGGAAACTGAGTGAAAAGAACCCAGTGGCACATAAGCATAACTTTACAGCTAGGGAAAAGCCCAACAATATATTTTCACATTTTGGTGATGCTGTCAGCAGTTCACACCGCTTGACATGAATTATTCACTAGCTCAGTATTCGCTCTAATTCATTTGTCTCCGATCATAAAATATGGCTCTGGTGTATAGAAAACAGTTACTGAGAAATAAGTAGGAAATCCATCACACTTCCCTTAGTGGAGAGAACCGCAATGATGGCTTTAATCAAAACCAATCCTGAAAGATCTATATCACCTTTCTAGTGAAAAATGTTCTTCACTATAGGAGTGAAGCTCTAAGAAATGAAGCGCACGTACACTTTAAATGGCGATGTGATACAAGTAGTAATTACTCAATGAATTGCAACATGGGAAAGACAATGGGGTGCAGAAGACCAGTCTCAGTCCAACCATTTACCAAACAATCTTGGACAAGTCGCTGAACGTCCTTGGGTCTCAGGCTCCATGTCCAGTAAATAACAGTTAGCACTAGGAGATCTCTCAAGTTCTGCCTGGATTTAAAAAGTCTATGAATCACTGTTTTTAATTCCATGATTCTATAATCATAAAATAAGTTCCAATGAATAGCCCGTCAGTATTTACAAATAAGGAATACACTGCATCGTTTCTCAAGATCAAATAAATTCACTTCCCCTTGCAAACTTGATCACTTGCAATTTAGGATGATTATCAATTAATCATCAGTTATCCACATATGGAAGGACAAAAGAGCATAATAAAATAAACTAAAAAATTGATATAGTTAGTTCATCCTGGGGTATTAATAGAATCTACTACTCATGATGTATTACTAGCTTGATTAATTTGTTTTTATTTACAATAATTGTTCTGTTTTATTTTTTATATTGATAATTACATTTTATTTAACTTTAAAGAAACATACACTTTTTTTATCTCAAGTAGGAAAGTCACATATGCCCACTAAGGAAAGCTTGAACAAATAGAAAGAATATAAAAAAGATAACCGTCAAATTTCTAAAGCACTGAAAAAAGGAACCCTCATGCACTGTAGGTGGGAATGCAGATTGGTGCAGCTGCTATGGAAGGCAGTGTAGAGGTTCCTCAAAAAAATTAAGAATAGAATTACCATGTGACCCAACATCCATCTTTTGGTTATCTACCCCCAAAAAATCTGAAAACATTTATCCTTAAAGATGTATGTACCCCTATTTATGCAGCTTTATTTATGGTGGCCAAGACATGGAAACAACCAAAGTGTCCTTCAATAGAAGACTGGATAAAGAAGATGTGGTATATATACACAATGGAATACTACTCTACCATAAGAGAAGATGAAATAGTGCCATTTGCAACAACATGGATGGATCTTGAGCTTATTATGCTAAGCGAAATAAGTCAGACAGAAAAGGTCGAGAACCATATGACTTCACTTATATGTGGGATATAAAACTGAAAACAACAAAGGAACGAGACAAACAAACAAAAACTCATAGACACAGACAACAGTTTAGTGGTTACTGGAGGGTAAGGGGGATGGGGGTGGTAGAAGAGGGAAAAAGGGGGACAAATATATGGTGATGGAAGGAGAACTGACTCTGGGTGGTGAGCACACAATGTGATATATAAATGATATTACAGAATTGTACGCTGGAAACCTATGTAACTTTGCTAACAATTGTCACCCCAATAAATTTAATCAAAGAAAAGAAAAGAAAAGAAAAGAAAAAAGGACAAGTGGATTGCATCAAATTAGGAAAGCATGGCTTGCAAAGTATAACAGAGAGGACTGATTAGCTTAGAGCTGAGGATCTCAAAGTGTGGTCCTCAGACGAGCAGTATCAGCATTACCTGGGAACCGGTGAAAAACGCAAAATCTCAGGTACCACCCCAGACCTACTCAATCAGGACCTCTGAGGATGGGGGCCAGCAACAGGGGCTTCAACAAGCCCTGCAGGAAATTCTGACATGGCTGAAGTTTCAAGTTTGGGAAGTCATTATTTACAAACAAATTAATTTTTAATTTTCAGACTTTTAAATTTTTTAATGGACACAGGTACATCATTTGCCCATACATGGCCTGCTTTTTATCTACTTTTAAAAATTTAATGAAGACTTGTGAAACCACCACGAGCAATAACTTCTATCTGTCTCTCCTCGCCTCGCCTGAGGCATCCTGGCGTCAGCCTATCAGAGGTGTGCACTATGCGGAATTGTCTATTTCCTCCTCGCTTTCCACATTGGTGTTATAGCTAAATTACATTAAGTTTATTAAGATCTCTCCCTATTGCTTCACGGAAATATATTTCACTCATTTTCACTACTGTATGATATGCTACTGTGTGAATATACCTTAATTTATTTATGCTTTATTGGTGAGCATGTGGGCTGTTTCCATTTTTTGCTATTACAAGCAATGCCGCTTTGAGCATCCTTAATTCTTGTACAAGCCTCCAGGTACACATGTGCTAAACTTTCCATAATGAGAATGAAAATGCTCGGTCACAGGGAGTTTGCATGTTCGACTTTCCAAGATTGGAAAATAAAATCGTTTGCTCAAGTGGTTGAACGAATTACATACCCATAAGCAAGATAAAAAAGAGTTCCCTTAATCTACATGTTCTCCAACCGTTGGTATTTTTAGACTTAAATTTTGTCCACTGACTGCTCACGTCACACACAAGTTCTAAAGGGGGTGGCGCTATGTTCTAAGCTTTCCATCACATGAGAATAGAGGGCTTTTTTCTGCAACGTGTGTCTTCAAGAAAATGTACCTGCCTTCCATTCGCCCCAATCTCAGCCTTATTACAAGTGGAGTGTGTGCTAGCTGCTGCCAACTCCCTGCAATGAGGTCCCAGAAGCAAGCAATCCTTTCTCCACTCTGCCCTGCAAATCCTCAGGTGGAAAGGAAGAGACTTACTGAGAAAGAGAAGGCACTGCTCCCTTACCACCCTGCGAACATCAGTCTCTGGTGTAAAGAAGACACTCAAGCTCATTAAACTTGCAGGTCCCCAGTTAACCCTTCAGTCTCTAGAAGCTGAAGCGTGCCTGCTTCGGAGTAGGTGCTGCTTGCTTGGGAGCCTGAGTCATCCAACGGATCTGCTCCAGAAATTGGATGCAAATCAAGGTTTTTTTTGTTTTTGTTTTTGCTTTTGCTTTTTTTTTTTAATGAAAGCGTATTTTAAATACACCAGAGAACCTTGTTATTTAAAGGGAGCTTAGTATGAATTCTTTTGTAAAATAAATAATCACTAGTTGTCCTTATAACCACATCTGGACTTTCAAATTCTGAATTTATATAAAATAGGCTATACGTTTAAGCAAATTTGAAGAAAGTAGTCAGTTTAAAACAGAACTTCTTATCTCATTCTAGAATTAAAAATAAGGCTATGTTTATCAGAATGACTGTCTTACTTAGCTTTTGAGGTGTAAGATGTTCTTGGTAAGCTTTGACTTGCCCTCTTATTCCTTGGTAAACACAGTATCTTTCCTCGTTTTGTGAATATCAATTCTTCGTCATTTAAGTGAGTCACACATCTCTAGCAAATAGCTTATCTGGTACTATTCCACGTCATCTGGTACACATTTATTAATGGGTCTACTGATCAAATTTTCCCCTTTACTCAGTCAAAGGATACTGTCCAAAATTAGTTTAGTGAGAGCCTGGTATGCCGACAAATCATACATTCTAGAAATTTGGTTGCAGGAAAAATCCACCTTCTGATGAGAAAAAGAGAACAATATATCATTCTTTATTTTTCATTCATCATAACCACAATAATGAAATGGACAAAAGAATGTGTTTCTGGTGTAGACTTAGAATTCATTATTGAAAAACTAAGGCTAAAATATTTCCCCATATCTCCCCATTTTCTAACTGAGATCCTGTCTGTCCACTTGGAGAGACCCTAAGTAGAAGACCCCTTCTTTGTGGCCAGAGCAGACATGCCCACGACCTAAACACTCAATTCCTGCAGCTACCTTCTCCATTTCAGCATTTACTTTAAACTTTCTTGATCTTCTTTCAGGATTTACCTCAATTTCACCCTTATTTACCACCATTTCTTTCAGATGCTCTAATGCCTAGTAAACTGTATTTACTTAGTTTATATGCATATCTTCTTTCTTTTCTCTCTCTCTCTTCCTTCCTTCCTTCCTTTCTTTCGTCCCTTCCTCCCTCCCTCCCTCCCTCCCTTCCTTCCTTCTCCCTTCCCTTCCCTTCTTTCTTTCTTGCCTTTTCTATTTCTATCTCAATATATTCTCCCATGTCACCCCCTAAATGCCATAAGAGTCTTTCTTACTCATCCCTCAGGCCATACTTAACAAACACCCTTTCTCAAAATGGACTATTTTGGAAAAATCTCAACTTTTTTGAAATACCTCATTGATACTTTTCTGGTCATGTTATAATCATTTTCTGCAAAACTATGAAGCAATTATATAAGAACATTATTCTTATCTTCTTGTACCCTTTAAAACAGTGATTCCACCCCTCAAAAGTACTAACAGTATTTTATCAGTGTATTAAATACTAAATGCCTTAACTATAAAAAAATGTAAATACTGAATTAAAAAA